AAAAAAAAAAAAAAAAAAAAAAAAAAAAAAAAAAAAAAAAAAAAAAAAAAAAAAAAAAAAAAAACGAATTAAGCAAAGTTCGGTTTTTCAGGTTTAACATAGAACCGAACCAATCCGGTCTTTCTAAACCAACCGGGGATCGATTTGGCGGTTCGTCGGTTATTTTGGTTATCCGTCTTCTCACGCGCTCAGCGAGCGGAGTTTATTTAAATACCAACGAATTCGCGCCCTTACCAGAAATTCTCTCGTTTCTTTGCTCACTGCTCACTTCTCGTGATCTCTTCATCCCTCTGCTCATTGCCAAATCTCACCTTCCCGATTAGAGCTTCGCAGTTCAGACCTAAGAAAATGGATGAGTCTTCGCTGCAACTTATCCACGATGTCGGAACTAAATTGAGCAAACAGTCTCGTCCAACCAAGGATTACATCGTGAAATCCCTCCGGGTAATGTTTTTACTTTGATTTTTATTGTAGTTTCTAAATTTTTCTTGTTGTTATGATCAAATTGTCGTTGGGACTCTTCCTATTTGATTTGCTTACTGTTGACTGAGTATGTTGACGATGTTGTATCTTCGTGGTTAGTCGTGAGTTGATACTCGAATTTTTCGTTTTCTCGAAGACTGAAGGGTTTCTTCTAGGGTTTTCTAATTATCTTCAATTATGAATGTGCGGAGCTGATGGTCCTGTTCACACAGACCAGTTCGCTGCAGTTGTTTGGACTCGAATCTTCCGACACGCTTGAGACGAAGTCATAAAACTTCGCATCAAAACTAATGGCTCGCTCTCTCCCTCTCTGTTTTCCTGTATCCACAACTAACAGCTCTTGAATTGACGGACACGACGAATTTCATTGACCGTTAAAAAAACTACGGATTAAAATTGTCGGTTGCTCTGTTTTATTTTGATCGCCCACACAAATCCGATCATATTTTCTATTTCCTTCATAATTCCGAACATTTTGTTTAGGATATGTTAATTCATTAGAATGAAAATAATTAATCGGTTCCTGTATTATCTTATCGATAAAACTCCAAGTCTCGTTTTGTTTTAGCACCAATCCATGAATCATATCATGTTCTGTAGTTCAGTTCTTACAATTTATTTACGCCAATAAATGGATTTTTCACTTCACGACTACCGTTTTCCTTATTACTTGATGTTCCATTTTTCCATTGCAGCAAGTTGTAGATGCTTTTGCTTGTTTGGAACAGTCTTACGTCCCAGATGCTACAAGGGAGTCAGAACCAGCTAAAAAATTAGAGGGTTCTATAAAGCCTCTAATGAAATCTATAGTTAATGGTCTTTTACGGAATAGAGATAAAGATGTGAGACTTCTATTAGCTATATGCGTTAGTGAAATGTTCCGGGTCACGGCTCCAGAACCACCTTTCGAAGACAAATATCTAAGGGTAACCAATCGTTAATTTTGGTTAAATGTATACTCTCTTTCTTAATCTTTCGGTTTACCATCCAATTTATCCATTTCTTTTCTTTTTAAAATTTTAGGATGTTTTTATACTTCTTTTGAGCTCTTTTTCGGAGCTAGGTGATACAACAAGTCCACTTTTCCCTCGGAGGGTTAAAATACTAGAGACAGTGGCACGATGTAAATGCTGTGTGATAATGCTTGACATTGGATGCAACGACTTGGTGTTGGATATGTTTGATACATTTTTCTCTGCTTTAAGGTCAGTACCCCTTATCTTGCACTTTTCTAATATCAGTACTTGCACACTTTTTATCAGCATGTTTGATAAATTTATTCTGATTTTCTGTTATGCCAATTTTGTCAAGGTACTCATTTTATTTTATTGTGTTCTAAATTTAAAAGAGTATAATTCTCCTTCCTCTGAGTATTTCGGTTTTACAACCTGAGGTCTTAAATTTCCCATATATTGTCCTTAATACTTTCAACGTTACTAGGACAATTTTGCTGTGTTCAAGAATAGTTGTGTGTATTGGGATATTTGTAGTTTGCTGGAGGAAGAATTTAATAATAGGAACAATGCACCTCTACAATGGTATGATATTGTCCACTTCGAGCATAAGCTCTCATAGCTTTGCTTTTAGTTTCCTCAAAAGACCTCATAACTTATATACCATGATCTTCTCTTTAATTAGCCAATGTGAGACTCCAACAATCCTTAAAGGATTAAAGGATTTAATTTATCCGGCTCCTTCAATAGGATTTTTATCACAAAAAATTGAAAAATGTTTGGTTTATGCTCCCTTACAAGCCTAAACATGTTTCCTTTGAGGTAGTAGATTTGTGTTGGGGAGTATCCAACATGGTTCCATTTTTATGGCTCTTAACTCGAATGTCTGTAATCTGCCTTTTTGCTCTCTCGTTTTTTTTTCAGTACACTTAAGCTTGAAGTAAGAAAAAAGTATTACGTAGAAAATATGCAGATTTGGATTATATAAGTTAGTTTGTTGAGTGTAGTAATTTCTATTGATTCTCAAACTTCTACTTGCATCTATTTTTCATGCATGCTGCTCTATATATTATTTGTTGGGTTACATTCACTGTACGACCCTTCTGAATTGTTTCATACTTACGATAGCTCTTTTTTCTATAGAGACTATCACGAACCTAGTCTGGTTAACAACATTTTGTCAATAATGACCCATATTCTAAGCGAGGATGCCTCTCTACCGCTAGTAGATGTGGTTTTGCACAATGTTGTGAAGGAGGAAAAGGTAAGTTTAATAGATTGATGTTTTGTTCCCTACCTTTTAGAGGGATTAAAAATATTATTTACGGAGAACTCTATCTATGAGATACAATTAACGCTCATTGTTATTACTCTTGTGCTAGCATGGTTTAGTTAAGTACGATAGCTTTAATAATCTTGTTGATTGATGGTGCATTGTATTATGAGTCAATTTGTCGAGATAAGGAAATTGAGGGCTATTTGATTAATAAAATATCTAATGTTTACAAAAGGGGACTCGAGCATTTTATGTATCAGGGTTTAAGGATAAAGGAAATAACTACATTAGGTAAATCACCCTTAACCCAAGCTTACTAGAAAACTTGCTAACTGAACATAAAGTTAAACAGAACATAAAAATTAAAAAAACACAGTAAGACAATTACAATACAACCCTACATCAACCCCCTTTACCTAACCAAAAAATAAAAAATAAAAAAGAACTCTTCTCGAGTTCATAATCGTCCTCATTAGAAAAAGAAAAATAGGTAGAACAGAAATGTAGCTTGTATGTCCAACGTGTAGGCGTTATTTTATTCCTAACTGTCTTCACGACAAAGTCCAATTAACACTGCACAAATTTTTCTACATCTATGTGAAGCCGAGGCCAATAATATCTAATGGTAATCTGGCTTATAGTTTTATCATGCCCAAAATATCCACCCAATACCGCAACATGTATGTCCTTAATTACTTTCTGCCTAAGAAATATGTGATAGTTAACAAAAACAGAAATGTTGAGTTAGCAAACAAGCCCAACATGTAGGTGTTATTCCCAACTCTCTTCACAATTTTGCAAAGTTCATTTGTGGCTTTATTATAGGTGCTTGTCACTAGATCTACATCTAATCTTAATAACTTCCAATTTATAAACGATCTCCCTCCTTTTGCCTGTCCCTGCAGAAAGATTTTATTTATCTTTGGTTTAGGAAATTTGTGTATATGTCTTAGGCCTCGACTTGATTAGTAGTAAAGCACAAAAAAATTCCTTTCAAATGTATTTTTGAGCTTCTTTATGTTGTCCTGACAAATGTCCTTTTCATATTTTTCAGGGTGAACCTACAGCTGCTTCTCGCCTTGCAGTTTCCGTCATTGAAGCCAGTGCTGAGACGCTTGAACCATTTGTTTGTGGATTCTTAACATCTTGTATTTCAGAGAGAGATGTGGCGGGAAGTGAACTCAAAGAATTTTACCATGAACTAATTTTTAGAATTTTCCAATGTGTCCCTCAGATGCTTCTTCCTGTGATTCCAAACTTGACTCTAGAGCTTTTGGTATGTTATTTATTATTTTGGTTGGTTCATTGTATTCCCACTCTTGTATTGCAACAGTGGTATACAACTATTTGTCATACTCATTTTTTTTTAAAATAATAAATGGTTTTGAATGAGTAACCATAAATATCTTATAACTCCGATTGGTCCTGATACGAGATGAGGAGTAATTGCTTTTAGATTCCAAGAAGTAAGACAACAACACCCCACATCCTGCCCAAGCTTTTTCCCTCAGTTAAGACTCTTCCTTCGCGTTTAAGCCAAACTTCACAAAACAATGCACAAAAAAATCGACTAATAGCTATTTCTTCTCATCCTTGAAGTTGTGCCAAATGAATGGACTACAAAATCTTTGATAGATCTTGGACGTCTTTCAATTTATTAAAATTGTTATTGCTGTTCTTTATTATTATTATTATTATTATTATTTGTGCTTACGTTCCAAACAACAATTTAGGTTGAGGCAATGATGGGGATTTCTTTTTGAACTTTGTTATTTGTGTTCAGCCCACCCCCAGAAAAGAGTCCATTAGACGACCTTACACTCTTAGGAATTTTTGATCTCCAAAGCTCCTCGAAAAAATCTGGCCATAAAATTAGAACTCTTTTTGGCCAGATAATTGGAGAGAGATTTAACAGAACATGCGTTACCCCTTTCAAGAAAACCCTTTCGAATGCGTCCCAAAGCCTTCAACCATCTAAACACTGCATCTGTTGGTTTCTAATAGTCACTCCTACATAATTTCCAGGATGCTCACGTTGTTTGTTTCCTCATTATATCTCTATCCTTTGTAGACGGACCAAGTTGATGTTAGAATAAAAGCGGTTAAAATCGTTGGTAGGCTTTTAGCTCTACCAAAATACTCTGTAGCACAAAAGTACCGAGGACTTTTTATGGAGTTCTTGAAAAGGTTTAGTGACAAATCTGCAGAAGTTAGAATTCATGCTATCCAATGTGCTAAAGATTGTTATCTGGCCAATCCTGGTAGTTCAGAATCTCTTGAAGTTCTGGGTCAGTGATTAAGTAGTTATGATGTTATTAGATTCTTAATCCATTATGTTTAGTATAACTGACTAGTTTGTACTCATGAACATATCAGCTGCAGTCGAAGAACGATTACTAGACTTCGATGACAGAGTGAGAACTCGAGCAATAATTATTGTTTGTGATATTGCCCGATCAAATATCAAATTTGCCCCCGTGACACTAATATCTCGAGCTGCTGAAAGACTACGAGATAAGAGGGTATTTTATTGTATGTTGTTCTGTTTGCACTTAGTAATCAAAGCTCACCTAACATTATTTTTGCTATTTTTTTTTGTAGATATCAGTTAGGAAAAAGGCCCTTCAGAAATTGTTGGAAGTGTATCGAGACTATTGTGATAAATGTTCCAAAGGTCAATTGACTATGAACGATGACTTTGAACAGATTCCTTGTAAAGTCTTGATGCTTTGCTATGATAAAGATTGTAAAGAGTTCAGGTTGGCTTATCATCTCTTGGATTGAAACTATTACAATATCTTTAAATATAATAATTATTACCACATTTTAGGTCCCAGTGCATGGAACTTGTTCTTGTGGAAGATTTATTCCCAGCTCATCTCTCTCTTGAGGAAAGGACAAGCCACTGGATCCATTTGTTCTCTCTTTTCAATATCCATCATGAAAAGGCCCTCAGATATATTTTGTTGCAAAAACAGAGGTATTATTACTAGCATGTTTTTCATGGTAAGATAAAATTTTATAATGTTTTGCATTTTTCTTTCATTGTTTGCATTTGTAGGTTACAAGATGAGTTGCGTACTTATTTGAGTCTACGAAAAAAGGGCAAGGTATGTTGCCTAACTTCTCTTCTAAGTTCTGTAGTTTGGTAAATTGTTTGCTGAATAAAAGATTCATTTGTTGACGATACGGATCATTTTGTGAAGTTGTAATCCACTTATGTTTTATTTGTTTTGTACATAAAAAACACTGGAACTGATAGTGAGTCTTCCAAATGCATCTTAAGTTATCGCAGTGTGAAACTCTTGTTTAAAATGCATTTTAGAAGACGACACATCATACTTGTCATTATCCTTGTAAATTTGTCCTTTTCTCCCTTTTTCTGAAAAAAATAAAAAAGAGAGGAAAAAAAAAAACTCTATATTTTGCCCAAAATGGTTCTGTGAGCCATTCTATTGTTAACCATAGAATGGAAGTCTCATACTTTTTTTTTGGCTTTTGTCGAAGGTAAAATTTACTTCTTACCAAGTCATTGATATCTGCTGCCTAAACATATAATTTAACGGATTTCTTCATCTAATAACATTTGGTTGTCTTGTTGCAACAGGAGAACCAATCAGAAGAGGTAGAAAAGCGAATTGAAACTGCATTTCTCAAAATGGCAGCCTGCTTTCCAGGTCCTACAAAAGCAAAGGAGTCCTTTCATAAATTAAATCAAATTAAAGCTGATAATATTTTTATCCCGTTGGAGCTTTTACTTGATGAATTGACAAGTGTGGAAGCTGAGGCCACCAGAGTGCGTAGTATACCTTTCTAGCTTACTTTTTGGTTGATATTTTAGTTGAACTATATTGTTTCAAGCTTTTCACTGCTACACGTTTTATTATTTGATTTGGAATAGTTCTTTACCATGATGAAGGCCCTTGTTGGATTTAAGGTTGAAAACTCTTTAAAATTCATTTATGCTAGATTAGAAATAAGATGAATCGTTTTCTATTGAGACTTTTAATTATGATTTTGTTTGGTAGATGCTTGAACTGTAAGTAGTACACGTCTTAGATCTGGAGTTCTGAAGATCTAGAGAATGATCTATACTGGCATGAGTCCACGAAAATTCAGATTGAGAAAATTTTGAGAAAAGTTGATTGTCTCAGATGTTCTCTTTTAGTAAGTTTGCAAGTATTTTTATCAATATATATTTCATCTTTTATAATTCTTTTCTTGGAATTCAACATATATCCCATTTGTGTTTCTCTTTAAATTCAATGTATTAGAGCGATATATTTAGTTCATAGGTCGATTTGATATTATGATTATATGGTAGGTTTATAAATTCATCTTCTCCCGTCCCTCAGGGATATCCAATAAATGTATCTTCTCCCTTACTGCTAATTTTTTGGCTCAAATACAAAACTTGACAATAGTTTGCACTCTACTCTCTGCTATGGGTTTTTTTCACAAATGATTGATGTACATTATCTGGCATTCATTTATAGAATTATTATATATATTTTTTTTCAGGACAAATTGTTGAGGATGATAGGAAGTAAACATCCTCATTTTGAGATTTTGAAATCACTCTCCTCAAAGTGCTCATATAATTTATTCAGCACTGAGCATGTACGCTTTGTATTAGACTGCATTCTGAGTAACAGACTTGCAAATAAACATTTGGAGGCTTCTGCTGGCAAGCTCCTACTGGTAAGTAAAATTGCAATATGTTGATTCCAGGTTGATGCGGCCTTATTTAAAAAACATTTTTTGTGTAACTTATTCACTCTCAAAGAATACTCGTTTCTCTTATCTGGTAACTCTGAGTAATTTCAAAGGGTAAATTCTTGTTTGGAGTTGGAATATCATGCATTAAATCACCGCTAAACATAAACATAAAAATTCGGTCTTCTTTTTCTTGCCTTTTTGGATTTATCATTGGATCGCTGCCATCAGAGTTACTTGTTAAAAGATTTGATTGGACGAACCATAGCAGTTTGTAAAAACGAACTAATAGATAACAGGGAGATTTTGGACGAGGTATGTTAACTAGCCTGTTGGCGGAGTTTTGTTTTGCTTTGTGTTTTATTTTAGTTTAGACTCTTTTTTCATTACTCCTATTTTGATTACTGACAGTTGCGCTAGCTGAAAAAAAAAATCTACAAAAAACAGCCAAACCATGCTGCTGATTCTAAAGTACAAAACTAAAAAAATAGTTGCCCGGCTTAATTTGTTATAAATTTTGTCAGTTTCAGTCAGTTTTTCGATTTGTTTTTTTTTTCTCTCCATAAAATAATGCGAGTTTGGTGTTGGTTTTGGCAGAAGACTGACTGACCGACCTGAACTGCTTACACATACTAATTAGTGATAGTTAGAGAGCCTCGTATTCTCTCTACAAAATTGGAATTGATAGGATGTCTTGATTGTTTCATTGTGATTAGTAGTTTCTATCAGAGAAATGTTCCTCTTTCANGGCATAATAATCAAAGGTTTCTTTTTTGGAAAAAAAAAAACATATGAACATATGAAATGGATAGTAATATAACAAAAATGATGCGTCCTTTTGTGAGTGTTCTCCATTTTTGTTCCAAGACTACTTTTTTCGTATCCTTATGAATCAGATAATATCTCTATGATATCTCAACCAACCTTCTCAAACGAGACTATCCATAGTTACTGCACCAAAAAAAAAAAAAAAAAAAAAAAAAAAATTGCTTTACAATAAACACACTAGAGGGGAGGACCTCGGTACTCAGTCAGCACAACCATTTGATCTTAGGCTATTTTCGGCATTTTCCCCGCACTCATCAGAGGCTTGGAAGGCCAACTGCTAAGGTTGTTGGAAGAAAGCAACCCAATAGATAGTAAGCTGATCGAAGTATTGGCAAAAGCAGGCCCTCACTTATCAATTGAACTCAGGTATTCACCATTTGCTGCTTACATGTTCATTACACGTCATTTTACTTTTCAAGTTAAAAAAACAATGAAAACTTCGAAGCTATAATGTTTGGCAGTGTTTTTGTACCTATTCTCCTTTCACTTCGTTGTTTAATACTTCTGTTTGATCTCGTTACTCTCCCTTCCCTAGTGCCAAATGCTTACCAACAATATGATGTTAATGCTTACGACAATTTTAAGGTTGACTTCTAAATCTTCTTCTCTCTTGTATTCTTTCATTTCTCTCTCATTTTCTTGATTAAAAAAAAAATCTGTAATTTTTAAAATATTTATTGCAGAATTTGGATTCTCGTACAGTTAGATTAATATTATGTGACGTTGAGAAAGGCGTGGATGCCTTGCTTTATACAAGTATCTCCTTACTGGGAGAAACTTGAACTTTTTACTTCCAAGTTTAGAGTAGAATTGGAGGATGACTAATTTTATTTCTTGTTTGTTTCTGTCTACTAAAACCGGTAGATAATTGATATACGACAAATGGTTGAAAGATGCATACTTGGTTGATAATTGTTTTAAGAAAACGTCTTATTAACTTTTTAACTTTTTTTCTTGTTCGTGTACTTGTTTGAAGTCTTTAGTTGCTAGCTGTAAGCTTAGGATAATGTTTTTCGGTGGCTTGATGTTAGTTGGCTCATTTATGGCATTACGCTGAGATAAAAAGAATCTGAAACACTGAAGAGTCATAGTACTTAGACTCTTCTGTGTTTGGATGCACGAGTCTTTCGATGTGTATGAGTGCTGTGGTGCACATGAGCTTCTGCATAGTTGGGGATGCAAAGTATCCTAAAATTTCCTTGTTTCTGTTTCCCTTCACCTAATAGTGATGCATACCCATTTCTGGAGAGATTATGCTTGGAGGGTACTCGTGCTCAATCAAAGAGTGCTGTTTCTGCCATTGCAGCTTTAGCTGGTACTTCTGGGTATTTTTTATTCTCTAAACTATGTAAGGTACGCACAAATATATTTTGGAGGCATTTCTGTTCATATATTCTTTGTTATAGTTTATTGACATTCAGAAAAATAGCTTACGGAACCCTTCTCTTTTTTTCCCCCCCAGGAACTTGTTGATTCTCTACACAGGGGAATGAATCTCCCCGCAATATTGCAATCTTTAGGTTGTATTGCAAAATATTCTGTTTCAACCTTTGATGATCATGATCTAGAGATCACACCTTATGTATATGAGAAAATCCTCCAAGTAATTCTTGCCAACTCCTTTTTCGAGTTTTGTTGATTTTTTGCTTCCGCAAAATCTTTTTGACCAGTGTTTTAACCTTACTCATGAAGGTGGACCTATCAGATAATTTCAATAAATTAGACGGGGATAGCAATTCTTGCGATTTAAAGGTAAATCCCTATGGAGACTCCGGTTCATTTATGTTTCTGTCTATTAAGTTGCGATTTTCACCTGTTTTGTACATTAATCTTAGACGGACATTGGAGGAGTTTGTATGAGGGAAAGATAAGACATCAACCCTTTGAACGAGAGTGGTTATTATAGAAAGTTACTCCATGTACCTTGTAACAAAAGAATGGAATAGTTACCTGAAAACAAAAAATTGAAAAGCACCATAAGGAGTCCAACAATAAAGTGATATCTCTCATATCTCTATTTTTTTATGAGACAACCACACACTTTCAAATTTGAATTGGGTTGGATCTAATAAAAAGAACTATGGGGAAGTCATCCGAAGTAGCCTTCATTGTCCTTGAATCTCTAGAGTCGTGAAACCAGCCATCCACTTCTGAAATCAGTCAATACAGGACATAGAGAATCCTCAAATTAGACTAAGAGAAATGACTGTTGGACGCAGGAATTTCAATCAATTTATGATCTTCAATAGTCCTCATGCTTCTAGAAAATGTACCATTAAAGGATTTTTCCATGGATCTCTCAATGACGTTGACCAATAAAAAGAAATTTTATCATTGGCAAACTTCTTTTTGAAGGCAACTAAGCCATATTAATTCAATATCTCAGATAAGATCGTTTCTTGCAATTTAAATTGATTTTGTTGTGGCAGTAGTCCTACTTAATAGACATTGAATTCACGTAATGTGAGATACGCTGTGTTCTTGAATAATTAGAGGCTACTAGTCCTACTTGGTGGCCTATTGATGATTTTTCTCCATTTTTGTAGAGTTATTCTTTCTTTTTTCCTTGCAGATTTATGGGCTGAAAACAATCGTTAAGAGTTTTTTGCCACATCAAGGAACTCCTAGAAGAAATGTTGATGAGTTTCTGAAAATTTTATTAGGGATGCTGAACACGTGTGAAGCTTCTGTTGGGAACATCCCTACGTATGTATTTAAGTGCATTGATAGATAAAACTTGTTTTAAAAAATTTTCCGGATCATACAAGATTCCTACAGCTTACTGAGTTGTTCCTTGTTAAGTTTTACTGATCTATAATCTTTGGTTTGAAGCTGCAATTTTGTCAACCTTCTGAAGATTGCATGATTTGTTGCTATTCAATTAATATTTTTCTGGACTATTGCACATTTCCCCATTATTGAATTCTTTTCTAAACACGTGCTTCTTTTTTTTTTTTTTTTTTTTTTTTTTTTTTTTTTTTTTTTTTTTTTTTTTTTTTTTTTTTTTTTTTTTTTTTTTTTTTTTGCGTTCCTACTTTCAAGAGAATACACTGTTCTTTTGTTTTCTCAGTCAAGATTGGTATTTTTTTTTTTTTTAATTTCCCCTAAGCCTTATGTTACCTTAGTCGCTAATAAAAATATACTAGGGCGTTATTTACTTCTGGAGATTTTATGATACAGTGATAGTGATCAAGCTCGAATCAGATTAGCTGCTGCAAAATCAGTTCTTCGTCTTGCCAGAAGATGGGATTCACAAATTACACCGGAGATTTTCCGTTTTGCAATCTTGATGGCAAAGGTACATTTGTTTGGTTGCTGTGGTCATAAATCTGCTTAGAAACAGATGAACGTGAATCATAAGAAAACTGGGAGCTCTTATGCAAGCAGTGGGATTCTTAATTGATTAAACTAAGGGGATGACTAATTATGACTGGAGGATGAGAGACCCTAGACTGAAAATATAGGCAACCTTTATTCTATAAGTATTGATGTCTGTACGTCATGTTTTTGTTAATTTTATGCTGATGATTGTAATTTATTTTTTTTACTCAAAGATTTAAGCGCTTCATTTTGTAGTTTTGTTCAAAAGGCTACTGTAAGTCTCCTTAGTAGTATTGATATAAACTAAGGTAGGAATGTCCTCAGGCCATAGAAAAGGATTACCAACCTATTTGAGGTCGGTAAGCTCTCCTTCCTCATCCAACTTTCACTAGCACAAAGAAGAATGAGGAAAAGTGGAAGTATTCTTTAAGAAAAGGACTAATCGAGAATTTTTTCCTTGATTTGCTTTTTATGAAGTTTAGTTAAAATGTGTATATAGTGGATGTCATTCGGTTCAGCCTGCTTCATCCTCATATATTTCTGCAAATGGATGTAGTCTTCCAAGAGACCCCTTTATAACCACCTGGTACTTTTATTTACTGCTCCATTTCAGGACTCCTCTTCTTTGGTTAGAAGGCTATTTATTGACAAAGCACACAAGTTACTTAAGGAGCAGGCTATACCTACTCGATATGCTTGTGTTTTTGCATTTTGCATCTCAGATAGCTTGAAGGATCTTCAGGATGATGTATGTCTATTTCTGTCAATTATGCAGCAGTGTTATGCTTAGGTACCTTTGCTATATGGTTCTATGATTCATATTCTGATGATACACTTCATTTCATTTCAGTCACTCAAATATATGGCAGAATTTATTGAGCAATATAGGAAGATAGCTCAGATTCATCAAAATTCTGTGGGTCAAGATGGATCAGTGACCTTTGTTCCAGCGTATATAGTAGTATTCTTGATATATATTCTAGCTCATGATTCAGGCTTCCCACATACAGACTGTCAAGATGAAAATGAATATGCTCAATTCTGTAGGTAAATGTGCCTTCTGTTTGAATCATTGTTGATGTTAAATTTTTTCCTCCATAATATCAATGGGTGTCTCTGCTTGGAACATGCTCTTTTTGCAGCCCCCTCCTATTTATGTTGCAGATGTTAGTCAATGCAGATGTAATTGTTGCAAAGGATTCTGTTTTGTATTTGCACAGTATTTTTCGTGCCATTAAGAGGGTTGAGGATGCTGTGGATATTGAAACATCACCTGTGAGAGTTTGTAGTAATGCATTTATATTATCACTGGCCTTTGTTATCACACAATTTCATCAGCTGAAAGCTTTTCCTTTTCTTCTATCTCTTTAATTTCAGAAGTTACACATTTTAGCGGACATTGGTCTCTCTTTTGTAACTGCTCTAAATTATTCCGGAGTCTCCCTATCATGTGCCCCAAGGCAGATTTTGCTGCCATTATCACTATATAGAGTGAGTTTGCCAAAGAAAATTGACTTGTTGTGTGCTTGAGGATACGATCTCAAATGGGCATTTAACATATGATTATTACCCTTCTTTCCAGGTAAATTCCAGGCAGCTTTCTCAACATGCTTTGGATGAATGTTTTATTGGAAGAGTTATTAAGACATTTCAATCTCAATTCATTTTGGTATGTCTCTAGTGTTGTTCTTTATTCTTTACCGATTATATTGTGAGTTCCATATGATTTGTGATTTGTCCTTTTGTTGCATGAAAGCCCACTATCAACCCATGTTCCTCAATAAGCATGAAAGCTTGTAAGCAAGTTGAAGCCATTTCCTCTAGAGCAACGAAGATCAATAAAACTGTGAATCAGGAGGCTATTGTTGGACGGAGGCGAAAACGGGCTGTCTCTCCAACAATGTCCTCATCAATTGAGTTGCGGGAGAGTTCTCTACTTGTTCAACAAAATTTCCCAACAAACAGAGAAAAAAGTGCATTTTCTTCTCAGTGTGAAACTACAGAAGCTTCTCTTGTTGAAGCATATGCGTCAATTCAGAGTCAGGACAATGTGTTGGCAAACAGGAACATTGATGATGAGTCTTCGATGTATGTCAACGACCAGCTCACTAATTCTCCCAAAATTTCTTAAGATATGTCTGTTGATTCCTGAGCGATATATCAAGTTATGCCTGTCAATTATTTATGAAATGGTTTGGTTAAACAACTAATTAGAGGGCTGCCTTTAGCAGATACATATTCAGTTTTCGGCACGGTTGATTTGTTCTGACTTTGAAGATTCTATTTAGAAGATTAACCCTCGTTTGAATGGTTAATACTTAAGAGATTAGTGCCTGACTTCACATCTTGGTGTGTTCTTGTTGACAGTGATTATTTTTCCTCCTTCCTATTTAGATTAAACTTATTATAGCCTTTTCTTTGTAATTTGTATTTAATTGGCATATGTTGCAGGTCGGAAATATTAGTGGAACGTCCAACTGCTGAGCTCGGAATCTGAGAGTTCGGATACGACACCAGATGGTTTCCTAGTAGAAAGGGTGAGAAGAACAAACAATTTAGATGAATTTTGCTTTCTGTTTTGCTCAAAATGATCACAAGACGAATGCAAACCAAACACCAAGATGCTATAAAACAGGAAGTTCTGAACTTCGATGATTCTGAATATGTTTCCTTTATTCTCTTTGAAGAGTAACAATTGGGTTATTTTGGATAACAATCGCAAACTTCCTCTTGTTCTTCTTGGTGAATGATATGATAATGTGAATATGTTTGTATCTAATAATTCTTGCTCATTTTCAGGTTGTTGGAAGTATCAAATACGAGCATTTGCTGTCTTGAGGTACTGGTTTCCTACCCTAACCATTGTTTGGAGGGTTATGAAAATGGTAGTGTTTGGTGAGTATAGGAATGAACACTTTGGATTAAGTTAAAACATAGATGTTTGGCTGAAAAGTAAAAAAATTATCTCAACTGTGATCCAACTGTATCCAATCTTTGGCTTGTTTGTTTGAACCCTTTCCATATGTACATATTGGTGAAAAATATCTGTATAGAAAAACTCTCAGACAAATACCAGTAACAATTTTGGATAGAAACTGCATTGTTCAAGTAATGGCTTTCTAATTTCTTCTTTTTTATTTTATTTTAGTGACATACATACATACATACATACATACATACATACATACATGCGCACATGTACAAATATACACATATAGACAGACATACATACTTATATTGATTGGTTCTTACAGTTCCAAGTTTTTCGTTAAAGNAGTTTCTTTTTTTTTTTTTTTTTTTTTTTTTTTTTTTTTTTTTTTTTTTTTTTTAGTAATTTCTGCTAGTTTAATTTTTCTAGAATTAGCTATGCTGTTTTAATAATATATCTCTTTAATATGTTTTTGTATTTTTTTTTTAAATACATTACATTTTTTATTAGATGTTATTTTAATTAATTAACCATTTTTCTAGTTGGGTTTTAGTTTAACTATTAGACTTTAAAAATGTTCGTGTTAAAAAAAAAAAAATCATATGCATTCAATAACTTATATAACATAATAGTTGAATTTTAGACTGAAAAAAAAAACAAAATAATAGTTGACAACCTAAATTTATTTTATTCCTAAATTTTACCTAATTTTATTTTTAAATAAATATTTGATCTTAATAGTATTACTTGAGTGAAATAAGCTGAATATTATTTTATTCTCATTCTATATTTAGAAGTATGCAATTTTATGCCTAATGTAACGAAATTTACTTATAACATGTATGTACATAATATATATAAATGACGTGAAAAAACCTAATATAAGTATTTAAAGTATAAAAAAAAATAAAACAATTATATATCTAAAAATGAAAATTGGAATGAATAGTCAAAATATGCCTTCAAAATAATTTATGCTTATTACGATTTTGAAAGCGACTCAAATAGTTAAAATAATTAAAACTTTTATTGTATTCAAAACCAAATTTTATGAAATTACCATTTTTAATCAATAATATATATATATTCCACGTAATTTTCTTAATAAAAAATTATATATTCCACGTAACCTTCACGAAAGGTACATTTCGGTCCTTTTTTTTTTTTTTTTTTTTTTTTTTTTTTTTTTTTTT